ACACTTTTCCGGGGATGTTGTCTGGGCCAGTTGCTTTGTGCGGATTAGTCCTCCTGAAGGTACTCCGTACTTCTGCTGAGGTCACGCTGAGATGCTCTTCATCCGGTGGCGAGGTGAGTCTGGTGCTGGGTGGTCTGTTCGGGTCTTCAAAGCGTGCATAGAACTTGTTGAGGGCATCAGGCAGAGATGGGTCTTTGGGGCATTGTTCGCTCCTTCCTTTATAATCTGTTATGCACTTAATGCCCCTCCACATGCTCCGAGGTTCTTGTGAGATGAATTGACCCTCAATCCTCTGTGCATATGTGGCCTTGGCCCTCTTAATACCAGCAACCAGCTCTTTCCTTGTCCTACTCAGCTCCTCTGAGTTTCCAGACCTGAAGGCAGTGTTCCTGGCTTCCAGCAGGGTACGCACCTCTGCATTCAGCCAAGGTTTTCTCTTTGGGTAGCTTTTAACATTTCTGATAGTGGAGACGGTGTCAGTACATGTACTAATGTAACCCAGAACTGAGGATGTATATTGGTCTAGATCAAGCGAACCTCCATTTTCAGCAGCTTCTCTGAAAAGTGTTGTGTTCTGCAGCCCTGAACACAACAGGTACCTGAATGCAGCACGGCTATTTTAGTAAACTTTATGGTTGTTAAATAAATGTAAACAAAACAAAAACAGAGTTTTATCTGCTGAACTGAATACAAATTCCTTTCAAGTAAACTGCAGTCCATGCTCTGCTACCATGGTTAACCAATGCTTACTGCTATTTCCTGTCTGACAGGAAGTTGTACCAGAATCATTTATACAGTAGCGCCCCCAGGAATAAGGTGGATAGGGTTTTATTTAGCTTTTTTTCTGCTGTAGCTGTTTGCAAAATACATTCAAATAAAGCATGTGGCTGCTCTAGGGGCGGTGATCACTCGTTACTACTCGTTACTCATTTTCAAGTTCATTGAAATGGTGGTGCTGAACCATCATGGTACGAACACATGTATCACCACACATTCTTCAATAATTGTAAATTGTATAAACTTTGTGGTATTTTCAGGAGCCTTTAGTCTGTAAAAGTGCAACATTATTATTTGTCTTTGTCACTAATTTTCTGTATATGCAAAACTTGGTGGAAGTTCTCCTGTTTATAGGGATCCACAAACCAGTGTATTCGCAGTGACAGCTGATCAACAGTAATAAGAAATATTGAAGACATATTCTGAGTGTAATTTTCTTCTTCCTCTCAGGGTCAGAAGATCAGCCACGATGTGGCTTCTGGTGTGATCCAGATGACCGTGGATCATTTCACCAGAGCCAACGAGGGCACATACACAGTCCAGATCCATGACGGCAAGGCCAAAACCCAGAGCTCACTGGTGCTGGTGGGAGATGGTAACACTGTTTAAACTTTACACAGCAGTTCACTGATGAGTAATACGTTTATTGATCCTGTTTGTGTCTAAGCAATGCACATGTGGTGTGTGAAAAGTGTCAACTTGTCATTTTTGGTGTTGTTCAGAATTAAATTAAATTGAAAGTAATATCCTGTCTGACTTCTGACATTATTTCAACTTTTATTGGCTCAATGATTTCTGTTGTGTTTGCAGTGTTCAAAGCTGCTCTGAAGGAGGCCGAGTTTCAGAGAAAGGAGCACATCCGGAAGCAAGGTACAAAAACACTCAGCACACAAACACACACAGTGTTCAGTTTCACTTTCTATATTTTAAGATAATAATTTAATAATGTACATTCTACTGGATATTACAAATTAATGATGAGTTGTTTTAGATTTAACTCAAGTCTGACCTTCCTAAAAGTTCATTTATCTTTTCATCTCTTAAGGTCCACATTTCTCTGAGTATCTGTATTTCACAGTCACTGAGGATTGTACCGTTCTACTCGCCTGTAAGGTAACAAAACCACACCCTCACAGGTGGTTTGTTCTATGAGCTTGCATGTCAGTTGTGTTTTCATTTTTTATTGCATTGGGTCACTGATCAGCATTGTTATTTTGTCTGTGTGCTCATTTCTGTCCTGTGTGTGTTAGGTGGCTAATGTGAAGAAGGAAAGTGCTTTCCACTGGTACAAAGAGGATGAAGAGATTGTTCCGGAGACTCCCCCCAACGTCATGTCTGGAGCTTGTGCTCTTCCTCTCCCTCTGGTACAAATATCCATCACAATGTAGCCATAAACAAATGTAAAATAATAACTATTGCATTTCAGCTGTTTAACTTCCAAAATGTTTCTGAAGTAGCGCAATCCTTCTGCTTGCTGGTATTTATTTAGTTCTCCAGGAAAGATCAAGGTGTTTACAAGGCTGTGCTCAGTGACGACAGAGGAAAGGACACTTCTGTGTTTGACGTTTCAGGCAAAGGTGCATTCATGATTCACATCAAGACAACGGTTTAATGTTCTTTTAGTAGTCGTGATGTATTTAACACAGTTTCCTTCTTTCATTCAGTGTTTGATGACATTATCAATGGCATTGCCCACATTGCTGGTGAGTATTGTTTTAAACCAAACTCTCTTGTTCCGTTCAAACAGTGTATGCAACGCACCACAAAGCCATAATTATGAACCCAATTCCAAAAAAGTTTGGATGTTGTGTAAACCCCAAGTAAGAACTGAATGATTGGCTAAGCTCATGAACCCATATTTTGTTCATAATGGAACAAAGTTTATGGGACAGATCTGGTTGGCAGGCGTCAGACTGATGAAGTCTTTCAGATGAAAGACAAAACATTTCCCCCTTAAAGAAACTTGTCCAGATGACACAATTTAACCTTTTTTATGAATGAAACAAGGTAGACATATCAGCTGTTTCCCACTGTGGAGCATCTCCTCTTCTTCACAAGCTCTGTTTGTGACTGCCCTTGGCTAGCAGGCTCTGGCTTCAAATCCAAGAAGGAAACCAGAAATTACCCCAACAGATCATTTTGCCAGGTTCAGGTTCTTTGATTGGACCATTGCAGCTTCTGAGCTCAGGAAGTTCACAGATTTATTATGGAAACTAAAAACGAGTGTTAAATACACAACCATTGAAGTAAAGTGGGCTGTGTGCTGAGCCCCCTGCTGTACTGTCTCTACACCCATGAGTGCAGCCCGACCCACAACAGCAACCTCATCATCAAGTTTGCTGATGACACCACAGTGGTCGGACTAATCTCTAAGGGAGATGAGACATTTTACAGACAGGAGGTCCTGGAGCTAGCAACCTGGTGCTCAGAGAAAAACCTGGCTCTGAATATAAAAAAACAAGGAGGTGATTATTGATTTCAGGAAGCACAGCACCAACCTAGCCCCCCTTTACATCGATGACGAGTGTGTGGAGAGGGTTCACACTTTCCGATTTCTTGGTGTCCATATCTCTGCTGACCATTGTAACATAACTCCTATGTTTGTTTCTCTCTGAATAAATACATTAAATGGTAAATGTATCAAACTGTTTTGTTGAACAGTTGCTGTTATTTCATTGTTAAAATGATTCAGAATTTCCACTTTTTAAAACTGATTTTGGGCCTTATCATGATGGGTGTAGGTGTGGTTGAAATTAGCAAATAAAAAGGGGCGTGTGCGTCGGCGCGGGAGCGCAACCGGAGAGGAAGACGTGCACCGTCAGATCTGTGCAGCGGGAGACTTGACTTGATTGAATGTTTAAAAGAAGTAAAAAATCAAAGAAAAGACATAAACGACCATCAAAGTTCGTCCCAGCGCCACAGATCGAGCGTTTTAGAAACTGGATCAGAGCTTGCACCCAGGAAACGCCGTCTGGTGTAAGAGGACGCCACTGAGGGGAAAGAAAGACGCTCCCGGTGAGATCTGAACTTTACTTTTCCTTTTGGGGATTTTTAGTGGTACCACTCTTTTTTTCTCATCTTTTTAGTTTTTTTTTTTTTGACGTTTTGAATTTTTAATTTTGGATTGGGACTTTAGAGTATATTAGAGTATATTTTACACCTTAACTGGAGAGAGAACACCACAGCAGTCATCAAGAAGGTTCAGCAGAGACTACACTTCTTAAGAGTCCTTAAGAAGCACAACCTGAACACCAAATTGCTGCTGACCTACCACTCGTCCATGGAGAGCCTGCTGACATACTGTATCTCAGTATGGTACGGCAGCTGCACCCTGGCTGACAGGGAGAGGCTTCAGAGAGTAGTCAAGACAGCACAAAAGATAACTGGCTGCCCTCTCCCCTCCCTGATGGACATTTACACATCACGCTGCCTCAACAGAGCAGAAAGAATAATCAAGGACTGTTCACATCCGGGTTTTGAACTGTTTGACTCGCTACCTTCAGGGAAGCGCTACAGGTGCATCAAAACATGAACAAACAGATTCAAGAACAGTTTTTTTCCTGAAAGCCATCACCACACTGAACTCACATGCACTAATTTAATAATCTAACCTCCCAAACCCCTGGACTTCTACTGTGCAATACTACTGACATTTCATACTCTCAACCACCTTAACTACCTCACTAATATCCATAATGTGCAATATAATTGTGAAATACTTGTATTTTTCACTTTCATAGTGCTATTATATCTATATTGCGTTACATTTTTATACTTTTAGTGTGTGTTTTTCTTAAGCATGTTTTTGCACTGGAAAAAGGAGTGGCTGTTAATTTCATTGTACTTGTGTATAATGACAATAAAGGCATTCTGATTCTGATTCTGATTCTGAAAGGCAACATAAAGTCAAGTCAAGTCACAAAACATAAACAGATGTTACTGATGTGGTGAAGAGCAGTGGTGGAGAATGTAATGATTGCAGTGTACCCAGAATGAAAGATCAGGACCGAACAGATACCAGGACTCATATAATAGTTTAAAGTGTTTATTTACAGGTTGGTGATATATACAATATGAATGAGGGGAACGGGAACACCTGGAGAGAGAGCGATGATTTAAAGGGCTGCGGTTGAATGGGAATATATCTTGTAGATTTATTCTTACAGTGTGAAGCAGGAGAAGGTATTATACAGATGGTGTCCAGTGGCACAAGGTGAAGCAACGAGTAGATTGAGGCAAGTGGTGGAAGGCATCCAGCAATTGGAGCTAGGCAGGAGGAGTCACAATTCATGTGGAACTCAGGCAGGGCAGGTACAGCAAGATCCAAACTCTGAGGAAGCGCAGAGGAAAAAACACAATATTAGGCTTTACTAATATCACTGAGAAATGGCCAGAACACAACTACCGTTGGTAGGCAATGTCCCAGCGCCTGCAGAGTGGTTCCTGAATCTTCTTCTACTCCTCCTGGGTGTACTGATCATCTGCAGCTGGAGCCAATTAGGAGTGATGAGGAGAGAGAAAGGCAGGGTGCAGGGCAGGATCCTTACATTACCCTCCCCTCAAGAGTCGCCTCCCGGCGACCTGAAGCGCTTCTCTGGGTGTGCCCTGAAGAATGTGGTGATGAGGCTGGGGTCCAAGATGAAGGACCTCAGGATCCAAGAGCGCTCCTCTGGACCATAACCCTCCCAGTTGACCAAATACTGGAACCCCCGCCCCCGGCGCCGAACGTCCAGGATGCGGCGGACCGTGAAGGCTGGATGGTTGTCAATGAGACGGGGGGGCAGAGGGAGGTCGGTAGGAGGGCACAGTGGGCTTTCCACAATGGGCTTGAGTTGAGACACGTGGAAGGTGGGATGAATCCGCATAGATGCAGGTAGCTGGAGTCTGACTGCCGTAGGACTCAGGATACGTGTGATGCTAAAGGGGCCAATGAAGCGGGGAGCCAACTTACGTGGGGTGTCCTTGAGGTGAATGTTCTGGGTCGACAGCCAGACTCTTTGTCCGACCTTGTAAACTGGGGCTGCAGATCGATGACGATCTGCAATCTCCTTGTTTTTGGCAGCTGTGCGCAGTAGGGTGAGCTTAGCTTGGCGCCAGACCCGACGACATCTCCTGAAATGATGTTGCACCGAAGGAACTGCTACATCACCTTCTTGACTGGGAAACAACGGTGGAGCGTAACCAAGGGAGGCTTCAAATGGAGACAAACCAGTAGCAGATGATGTGTGGGTGTTGTGGGCATACTCCACCCATACCAGATGTTGGCTCCATGTGGAGGGGTTGTCCTCCACCACACACCTGAGGGCAGCCTCTAATTTCTGATTTGCCCTTTCGGCCTGCCCATTGGACTGTGGGTGGTAACCCGATGTTAGGCTGACAGAGGCCCCTAAGGAATTACAAAAGTTCTTCCATACCTGTGATATGAACTGGGGTCCTCTGTCAGAAACGATGTCCGATGGGATGCCGTGAACTCGAAAAACATGTTGGACCAACAGCTGGGCTGTCTCCAAGGCCGAGGGAAGCTGGGGTAACGGAACGAAATGAGCAGCTTTAGAAAATCTGTCAATGACAGTGAGAATAGCAGTTTTACCATCAGAGGGGGGCAGCCCAGTAACAAAGTCTAAAGATATATGGGACCATGGGCAGCTAGGCGTGGGGAGTGGCTGTAGTTTTCCAGCAGGAGGCTGGTTACCAGTCTTACTTCTGGCACACGTGGGGCAAGCGGCTACGTAATCCTTTACATCCTCGTTCATGGAGGGCCACCAAAAGTGTCTCTTAGTCAGAGCTAACATGCGAGCAACACCTGGGTGACAAGAGATCTTGTGAGTGTGGAGCCAGTTGAGTACCTTAGTCTTAATACTGGTGGGTACAAACATAGTGCCAGCAGGGCCTGTCCCAGGATCAGGTTCGGACTTCTGGGCCTCTAAGATGTCTTTTTCGATGGACCAGGTCAACGAACCGACCACACAGGATGAGGGAAGAATGTTTGGCTCTTGTTCGGTGTCCTCTGGTGGTGAGAACTGACGAGAGAGGGCGTCTGGCTTCACATTTTTTGAGCCGGGTCTGAAAGTCAGTACAAAGTTAAATCTTGTAAAAAATAACGACCATCTAGCTTGTCTAGGGTTTAATCTCCTGGCCTCGCGGAGATAGGTAAGGTTCTTATGATCAGTCCAAATGAGGAATGGTGTGTCTGTGCCCTCGAGCCAGTGTCGCCACTCCTCCAAGGCCAGCTTGACAGCAAGGAGCTCACGGTTGCCTACGTCATAATTTTGTTCAGCAGAGGAAAGGCGTCGAGAGAAAAACGCACAGGGGTGCACTTTGTGGTCAACAGGAGATCTCTGAGACAAAACAGCTCCTACTCCAGTGTCAGAAGCATCTGAATCTTGGGATCGGGGTGACAAAGAATGGGGGTAGAGGAAAAAAGTATTTTTAGCTCACCAAAAGCCGTTTCTGCCTCATGAGTCCACTTAAAAGTCTGCAGGGTGGAGGTCAATTGGGTGAGAGGAGCAGCAATCCTGCTGTAGTTCTTGATGAACCTACGGTAGAAGTTCGCAAAGCCCAGAAATCGCTGCAGCTGTTTACGTGTCTCAGGTGTTGGCCATTCCACCACTGCCTTAGTTTTTTCAGGGTCTGTGTGGTATTGTCCTCCTTCAAAAATAAAGCCCAAAAAGGAGACAGATTGAACATGAAAATCACACTTTTC